TAGATTACTGGATAAAATAGACTATCTTAAATGGAGGGAAGAACTAATGGAATATAAGGTAACCACAATGGGGTTGGGGTGGGGGGTTTATTTTGGGTGTTGGGGAGGGCAATTCAAGAAAGGGGGAGGAGGCAGAAGAACAAGATAGATAGGGGAACACTGAGACTGGTTTGCATGGCCTAGTGGGACAGAGGTAAATGGTGATGTACTCAACCTTGAACAACAGGGCTCTGGGATACAGGGATCTAGGTATAGCTTGAAGACGGTAAGTAATACTAAAACCCTTGACTGCTTTATGAATATTAGTTTCCCTTGCCTACTATTGTAAAATAAACACTTGAGTGGGAAAGAAAGGAATGTTGGGAAACATGATTAGAGAAAAGTTGTAAGCCCGCCTTAAGCCTATAACTGATTGGAATATCTAAAAGGGGTTCTACAACTTGCCCAGTGAAATAGGCCTCATGCAAAGCCTTTACAGAGTATAGGACCTTAGGTGGACTCCTGAGTCCCATCCACAATCTTGTGAGGTGAGACATTCCCACTAGAAAGGACAAGCAGACAGGAACAGCTACAGTGACAGAAGATACATCTTTATGATGAACCTGACCTATACTCAGAGCGGTAGTTACTCTACATACCAACAGAGAGGGAGTCTTCAAATCAAGTATCAATGCTATCTGCTCTGTGCACAGGGTAGATAGGGATGGGCAACTTAGACATTGGCTTTCTAAAATGAGGGGCAATAAAGGCACAAAGTGACTGGCTTACAAGGTTTCAAGAGGGAACTTAGTTTAAGAGTGTGGGGGGAAAGAAAGAGTCCCCACTGAATAGCTATCATCTTGTCTAGATGGGTCTGGTCAAAGGAGATGGGGATAAGATTCGTAAGATTCAATAGTGAATAATTGTTATCACGACTAATCGCAACTGTCACAATTATAAAGGTAGAAGTTTGTAACAAAAAAAGAGGAGTGGTTAATCTCACAGTCCAGAAACAGAGGACCTTAGGACCATCAAGGGAGGAACACACAAATAGAATGCGGGACCTTATCCAGAGAAGCAGCAGCACCAGAGATGGAGGCAGAGATGGGAGCATGGAGAGGAGGTGCAGCTGAGGACTCTAGATTCATCAACTAAGAAGAGAAGGACTAAGAACTGGTGGCCAGGAGCAGACTTGCAGAATGTGCCCTTTGGAGGTGTAAATTATTATATATGCCTGAGTGGGTTTTTTTATTTGTGTGTTTTTAACAAAAGCTAAAGTGGATAGAGAGAAATACTTTTAACTGATGGTATATGGAGGGGAATATAATCAATGTAATGAAACAAGTTATATGAATTGTTAAATGTGAAACTGATGATGTGCCCTGTAAACTTTCACGCAATCCACAATAAAAACCTTAAATTAAAAAAAAAAAAAAGAAGGCTATGTGGCTTAAGGATAATTTATTAGCCAAACTGATTTTCAAGAATAAAGCATTCGGACAAATTGCTGTCAACATACAACAACTAAGGAATAGTAATGCCATGGGTCCTTCCTGCAAATTTACTGGTAAGGTATTTTAGGAAATCAGAATAACTGAAAAGGCATTGATGTATATTAGATTAAGTAAATTTTCAATTACAAGACAAAGAAAACAATAAGGACCATAAGGAAAAAAGTGTATAGTATGCAATGGATATATGAGTATATTCTGACAATGGAGATACAATTCAACTATCAAAAAATAGGGGGATAACAAGGAAAACACTTTTTTAAGTGACTTTGTAAAACAGCAAGTTTGACTGTATATCTCTAATCCAATATGCCCAAAGGGTAAAGTTAACTGTTTTCACAAAACAAAACTGTTTGTGATCATATTGATGATAGAACTATTAACACTTTTTTCCTGAGACTGCTAAGTACAATGATTAATTAGACAATATTCTAATCCTATCATCCCCCAATTTTTGGAATGAGAAGAAAAGAGATGTGGATGTAAGAAAAGATTCATAGAATTTGAATCAAAGTTTCACTATGAATTCATGATATATTTTAGCACAACAAAGCAAAACAAAGTAATAGCTTCAATGGATCAAAAGCCTTTCCTATAACTTTTTGCTGTCAAGTTGATTTCAACTCATATCAACCTTATGGAACACAGTAGAACTGTTCCATAGGGTTTCCAAGGCTGTAATCTTTACAGAAGCAGACTGCCACATCTTTTTCCCACAAAGGGGCTGGTGGATTCGAACTGCTACTTTTTAAGTTAGTAGCCAAACGCATAACCACTGAGCTAGCAGTGCTCCATCACAAGTCTTCAAATGTGTCAAATTCATGAGTTCTTAATGATATTTTAAACAATATCAAAGCTAGTTACCGTTGAAGGATATGATTAAACCAGTACATTATTTTGATTAAATTATTTTATTTGTTAATAAAAGTAAATAGTCACGCATTTGTCTTGTCTTTCCTATGAACTGTTATTAGGTGCCATTTAGTCTATTCCAACTCATGACAACCCTATGCACGCAGAACAGAACTGCTCCATAGGGTTTTCAATGTTGTGACACCTTCAGGAAGCAGATCACCAGGGCTGTCTTCTGAGGCACCTTTGGATGAGTTAGAACTGCTAACCTTTTGGCTAACAGCTGAGTACTTAATTGCTTGCGCCTGCATAGTATAATCTAATAGTATATTAAAAAAAAGTTTCTTTTTATAGTATTCCAGTTAATACATAAAGAATAAATGATAAAATTAGAGTATTATCTTTTTGCAACCTTAATATAAATAAGGATATTGATCACAAATCCATTTCTAATACCATAAAAAGAAAAAATCACATACGAGAGGGCTTCAAAAACTCTTATGGAAAAATTTCACTATCTTTCTATTTCATTTACCCACAGACGTTTTAAAACCCCATTGCATTATGTGTTTCAGATAGAAGAATGCAAGAACACAATAATTCAGGCAGTCTTGTCCCCATTAAAAATTGAGTTAGAATCTGATGAAGCAATCTCTTGATCTAACTAATAATTAATAAGCAATACAGAAAAAATGTTAATATTACAGGACAATGATATAATTTCTTCAGCAAAAAAAAAGTGACAGAGAGAAAAAAGAGAGTCGAAAGAAAATTAAAAGAGATTGTTAAAAAGCTGTCTATTATTACAATTGGGCCTTATCTGGATTCTGAGTGAAATAAATCAAGTGTATGAAAAAAGACATTTATGAGACAATTAAATCTGAATACTGGTTATTGTATTTGATGATGTTAAAGAATTACCGCTAGTGATTATGAGATGAAAGTATTTTGGTTAAACTAAAAACTAGGGATCTTTATTTTTTAGAAACATACTGAAGTATTTATGGATGAAATGAAAGGATGCCTACCTGCCTACCTGGTATTTGTTTCAAAATAATAATAAAAGTGAAAAGAGTGAGTGTGGGTTTAACTAAAACAAGTTTGGCCATAAATGTTGAGGCTGGGTGATGGACACATGGGGCTCATCATATTATTCTGTCTGCTTACTTGTGTACATGTATATCTATATCTTCATATATATATTGTTGTTGTTAAATACTGTTGAATCGGTTCTGGCTCATAGCGACCCTGTATAGGCTTTAAGTCTTTGTGTGAGCAAAAAGCCTCATCTTTCTCTCACGGAGCAGTTAGCAGGCTCAAACTATGGACCTTGTGGTTTACAGTTCAGTGCTTATCATGTGGAGCACCACAATCCCCCATTTAATAATAAGGAGTTTTTAAAAATCACTAAAAAAAAAAAAAAAAAGACATAGAAATTTGAGTTATACTGTCAAACACTTGTATTCTCTTCTTCAGATCATTCTTGTTTCTATATTTAGTCAAGGATCACAGCTAGATTTAAATTAAGGGGGTAAGTTTTGATCCAAAGCTGATGGCCTAACATTTTTCTAAATTTTTTTCCTGTCAGTAGTAGACATGGTCAAAAGTGGAAGGAATGCTTATAAGGTTTCCACTATAGCATGATTCAAATTCTGTCGGCAGAATATAGCAATAAACTAACTCTTTGAGTTCAAGAGGATTCTTTTCTATTATGTCTCTGATAGTTCTCTTTAAGCATATATTTTTAAGTTTCACTAGCAGTCCTGGTGTGGGTTAATACACTGGACTGCAAAGTCAGTTTGAACCACAAAGTCGGTGGTTCAAACTTACCAGTTGCTCCTCGGTAACCCTACACAGGGTTGCTTTGGGTCAGAACCGACTCAACAACTCTTAGCAACAAGAAAATATGTCAAAATGAGTCCTGGTACAATCCTAGGATAAGCAATGGACTGCAAGATCTTTGAACTGCAAGGCCAGTGTTTCAAATCCACCAGCCGTTCCTCAGAAACCCTATACAGGGTTGCTATGTGTCGGAACTGACTTAACAGGAGTCCTGGTGTGGCACCGTGGGTTAATGCGCTGGACTGCAAGGTTGGTTTGAACTGCAAGATTAGCAGTTCAAGCTCACCAGCTGCTCCTCGGCCACCCTATACAGGGTTGCATTTAACAACAACAATATGTCTAAAATATAAGAAAAACTGGTGAGGAGGTCATTCATCATCAGCTAACAGGCCTTAATCAGTGAAAAATGGTAACTTTATTTGACTCAAGAGATTTAATAAGATTACTCTGAAAAAGGAAAAACAGGTAAAAATCTGAATTTTTAAGAAAACCATGTAACTAGGAAATTTGATTTATTAAAAGGCACTCTAATCATTCTTACACTTCCAGATGTGACACTACCACTTACCTGGATGAACTATTTCAAGCATACTCAGTTGTAATTCTCGGGAAAGTCTCATGGCTCTCTGCCTCTGAAGTTGCAATTGTAATTTGTGGTCCTCTTCTTCCTTCTGCCTATTTAACTTCAGCAATATCTTTGTTCGTTTCATTCTGTGATGGAAATATTGTCTTAAATATAGTTTTCTAAAATCATATGGCCGTTCAAAAAATACACATATATGAAAAAGTACTTAACTTCACTATTAATCAATTCAACTCAGACAGCAAAACTCTTTTCAGAAAGATAATTTCAATTGTTGTTAGGATATGATGAAATAACTTTTCATGTACTGCCACTATACAATATTTCTGAAGAAATTTTTGGATATACGTACCAAAATCCTAAGAAAAATATATTTATGTGTCAAAAGTCTTTAAAATATTGTCCAATTAATTTAATTTCTAATAGTTTTCTTAAAGAGATGATCAGGTATGCATATAATATTACAACAGTGACAAAGGCAAACTGTATGTTCCACAACAGGGAAATGTATAAATAAATACTGGTACATTTTACTGGGTGGCATCTTATACACTATGAAAAAACATATACTGTTAAATGTCATCGGTTGGTTCCAACCCATAGTGACTCAGTATGGGTTTCTAAAGAGTAGCTGGTGAGTTTGAATGGCTGACCTTGTAATTAGCAGTCCAGTGTTATAATATAGTGCCACACAAGGATTCTCTCTCTCTCCATATATATATATATGTTATCGTTGTTGTTGTATGCCATTGAGTTGGTTCTGACTTATAACCACCCTGTATAGGGTTTCCAAGGAGCAGCTGGTGAATTTGAACCACCAACCTTGCAGTTCAAGTCAACCTTGATGTCAAGTGCTTATCCTATGGCACCACACCAGGACTCCATATACACATATATAGATATAAATTTTACGTATATGTTGTTGTTTGCAGTCGAGTTGGTTCTGACTCCTAGTGACCCTTTTATAGGGTTTCCAAGAGTGGTTGGTGGGTTTGAACTGTCCACCTTGTGTTTATTAGTCCAGTGCTTATCCTACACCACCACACAATAGGCAGAAATTTTCAACACCAAAACACAATCCAATGAAAAAAAAACTTGGTAAAGGACATGGATAGATACTTCACTGAAAAAGACATTCAGTGGGTAGCATAGGGGAAAGAAAAATGTTTTAGGTGTTTGTCTTATGGATACTGGTTTCCCCTGCCCTACTGTAAAACAGATATTTATGTGTGTTAGAAATTAATACTAGGAATTATGATTACAGAAAGCTTGTAAGCCTGTCTCCAGCCTATAACTGACTGGATTTACTACAAAGAAAATTAGAATTTGCAGAGGGAAAGTCTTTGTATAAGGCCTTAGATGGAATCCTGAGCCCCACCTAGAACCTTCTGAGTTGTTGGGACATTCCCTTTTGAAAAGACATGCAGATTAACCCCAAACAGCTGGGAGAATGGAAGAGTTCTTACTGAAAGAAAGACCTGCAGAAAAAAAGTGGATTGTTTGGCTGTTTGCGTTGGAGGCATTAAAATGAGAAAAGTCAGACCATTAGGGAAAACCCTCTTCTAGGATTGAAACTCAAAAGTGAACCAGGGAGCAGTCTAATATGCTCACTGGTGACCCTCTGGGTGGGGGTGGGGGAACTGCAGCAATGGAGATATAGACTGAGTTTGGCCATGTTCCACTGACACCTGTTAACCTCAAGATGAGAGAGACATGAGGAAGGCCTTGTTAGTTATAAGTTTAGGGAGATGTTGAAGTCTTTTTTTTTTTTTAATGTTTATTGTGAATTGAGTTATTGTTTACATGGAAGAACACTGATTTTTTACTCAACCAATTGTATTCTGTTTTAATGTAACAATTATAATCCTCTCCATGCATCATGGGTTAACAGTATTTGCCTCCATTTCTTTTTTTTTTAATGTACACAAAAACATACAGGGATATATAATCATTTAAACAACCAAAGGGCATATTTTACAAGCCAGACAGCACACAGCTTTTTTCTTTCTACGAGTCTAGAGTCCTCAGCTGCTCTATCTTTCCATGCCATCACTTCTGCCTCCACCTCTGGTGTCACTTCTTCTCTAGTTAGGATCTTACACTCCTTTCATGCTCTTCTATCTTGATAGTCCTAGGGTCCTCCGTTCCTGGGATGTAAGATTAAGTACTCCCACTTTTTGTTATCATGACTGATTGTGGAGCTGTGACAATTGCAATTAGTCATGATAACAATTACTTACTATTGAATCAAATGAATCCTATCCCCATCTCCACTCACCAGACTTATCTAGACAAGATGAAAACTATTCAGTGGGAATTCCATCTTCCCCTGCATGCTCTGAAACAAAACTCCCTCTTGAAAACTTGTAAGCCAGTCACTTTATGCCTTTATAGCCCTTCACCCCCCATTTCAGGTAGCCAAAGTGTAAGTTGTCTGTCCCTATCAAATCTGTGTACTGAGAGGATAGGCATGGTCCTTGATATGAAGATGTCTTCCCTCTAGGTTGGTATTTTGAGCCACTACATCCATACATATAGGTCAAGTTAATCAAATTGTACATATTACCCTTGCTTCCTGTATCAAACTTCTTTATCTTTCTCTAGTAGAAAGGTCTTATCATTAAGTCATCCAAACTAGGTCGAATGGATAATATCTGCATGTTTGGGCATTCTTGCATGCCTTCCCCCATTTCATATCAGCTGGAAACTTCACTCTTAGCTCTAGCCCACCATGGCTAGTCAGTGTCCATGGGCTCAAGAGTTCCTAAGTCTCTCCAAACTGTGGACCAACCAGCCCTTCCTCTTCTCTCTCTCATCTCAAGTTCGACAGGAGTCTATGGAACATGGTTGAACTTAGCCCATGTATTCATTACTGCCTTCCCCCATCTTCCACTCACAAGTAGACCAACATGGTCACCAGTGAGCTTACATGCCAATTTGTGTATTCCCTTTGAGTTTCAGTCAAAGGGGATTTGTCCTGAAGGGACTTGATTGTTCCCAAGTGAACAGCTTTCTTGTTCTTGTAATAGCCAAACAGTCTGCCGTTTTTGTTTTTGTTTAGATGTGTGAACTCTTGAGTACATAGGCACTGACCTAGCCACTGGTGACTAGAGCTGAGAGTGAAGTATCAAGTTGGTCTAAAGTGGGTGGAGGTGCATGTGAGCTCCCAAACTTGCAGCTAGTACCTATTTGACCAGCTAGTACCTAGCTGACCAGAACTCAATGAAGATAAAGATGCTTGATACTGTGAGCAAGCATAAATGGCTACAATTTGATGACCGAGACCTTTGGTTATGGATGCAGTTGCTCAATATTCCAAGCAGAATAAAAGGATTCATCTTATCAAGGAACTCGCTTATTTTCTCAGTGCACTGGGTTAACAGGGATGGGCAATCTAGACATTGGCTATCAAAAAAAGGGATAAAAGCATGACTCTTGGTGTGGTGCTGTAGGATAATACACTGGATCGCAAGGTCAGTTTGAACTGCAATGTCAGCAATTCAAACCCACCACTATAGGTCAGAACTGACTCAACAGCATTTAACAATAAAAACAACAAAAATAAAGGCAAGAAGTGGTCTAGTGCATTATCCTGCAGCACTATACAACCAAAAATTTGTGAATGTAGTAGATATGTATATTATATTGGTATGGGAGGACATGTGGGAGTACATGTGTGTACATATATAGTGTAAACCAGGAACTAAATCCACTCCTGGGAGTCACCTATAGCCCAAATAATAGATTGGCCTACATCATGAATAAAAAAAGCCAGTGTGGTATGTGCTCCTTGGAAAAATAATCTTATACAAAGCGTAGTGGTTATGAATTGGGCTGCAAGCCGCAAGGTCAGCAGTTCGAAACTCCCAGCTGTTTCGCGGGAGAAAGATGAGGCTTTCTGGTCCTGTAAAGATTTACAGCCTCGGAAACACTGTACAAGGTCGCTATGAGTCGAAACCGACTCGACGGCACATAACAACAACATACAAACAAAACCAAATAGGTAGCATTTGCCCAAGAGCAAAGATGAGAAGGGAACAAGGAGCAGGGAAACTAGAGGGATGGAAATGGGGAAGGCAAGGTGGAAATGGGAAGAATGTTGGCATATTTCCTGTTGGCATACCAGTGTCATGGTACAATTTATGTATAAAATGTTGAATGAAATTAATTTGCTGTGTAAACTTTCACCTAAAACACAATAAAATGTTTAAAACAGAGATTCTATGATCACTCAAGTATTAAAAGATTACTCATCCAACTGGTTCTTTTATAAGAAATTATACACATTTGACCATCTTGCATCTTGACTCACTTTTGAAAAGGAATTTACTGATGAGATACCATATATATGTTCAAAACAATTTGCATAAATACATTCCATGATTTACAATCTGAATTTTACTATTAAAGAGGTAGTTGACCAAACTATCTGCTGCTAACATATCATGGATTATTTTAGAATTTCTCTGTCCAAGAGAAAAAAGTATGAACTTGAGGGTGCTATGTGAGTTAATGGGCAGAGCAGAGAAGGGCATTTTTCATAAACTAAATCAACACTTTCTGAGTGATTGTTGCATGCTTTGTTCTGTGACTCAAGCAAAGAGAAGGTACAGCTCAGATCTTTAAGAGCTCAGTTTCAGTTTAGGGCTAAACAAGTATAATTAAAATATCTAAACATTAGCACCATGATAGAACTAAATGAAAAAACAAAAACCCTAAAACAAAAATACAAAACCCATTACTGTCTAGTAGATTTCAACTCATAGCAACCCTATAAGACAAAGCAGAACTGCTCTTTAGGGTTTGTTGTTGTTAAGTGTCGCTGAGTCAGTTCTGACTCAAAGTGACCCTGTGTAGAATTTCCGAGGAGCAGTTGGTGAGTTTGAACCACTGACTGAGCAGTTCAAATCAACCTTGTGGCCCAGTGTTTATCCTACAGCACCTTACCAGGGCTCCCCTTAGGGTTTATGGCATTATCAATATGTATTGGGAGGAGGCTCATCATTCTTGGAGTGGCTAGTGGGTCTGAACTGCTGATCTAGTGGTTAGCAGTCCACTGCTTATGTTAGCACCACCAAAACACCTTGAGGGTAGACAGTCCCTCCCAAAAGAAGCACAGTACTAGTGATGGCAGATTTATTATGAGATAATGACATGATCAGAAAAATACAGAAATAACCTTTGCACAAAACCAGTCTACAGAGGAAGCAAAATAATTTACATAACTGTAGCAGCTAATAAAAGAGGAGAGGAACTGAAGCCTGGAACAAACTTGAAATTAAAAAAATTAAAGGGAATCCCCAAATTACAACTATACTTCAGGGTTTCCTATAGCCTGTTGTTCAAAAATACTGGCGAGGAAACATATTCATACAATGTGAAATAATTTGGTTTCACAACTTACCTGTTTGAATGGTTTTGTTAGATAAAGAAAGCAGTGGTATGTCTACTTTAAAACAGAAACATTAACTAGAATTCATAATATACTTCTAACTGGATATGATCTGTAATCCTGAGATTCTTTTAAATACAGATTTTAATATTGAAAAAGAAATTGATCTGGTAAAATTGGCAAGGATTGTGGGACCAAACATTGTAATCTGAATCCATGGTATCTTTCAATGTAAGAAGAAAGACAAGTGAGGATGACAGCACATAGAATCAATTAAGAGTAACTTTTCTACCTGAATTCACTGCAGGAGGCATGACGAACATCTTAGACGCTTTCGATAAATAAATACTGTTGTTGTTAAGTGCTGTCGAGTTGGTTCTGATCCATAGCAACCCTGTATAGGGTTTCCAAGGAGGAGCTGGTGGGTTTGAACTGCTGACCTTGTGGTTCAAACTGACCTTGCAATCCAGCACATTATATCCTGCCCATACCAGGACTCCTGAATAAATATTATGAGCCTCAAAATATTTAATATTTCCCAAATTTATTTGACCTTAAAAAGTGATTAAATAAAAAAGAAATTCCCATGAAAGTGCAGTGGCTCCATAAGATAAGCACAGGACTACAAACCACAAAGTCAGTGGTTTAAGCCCACCAGCCCCTCTGTGGGAGAATGATGAGGCTTTCTGCTCCCACAGATTTAACCCTGCACAGGGTCACTATGAGTCAGTGGCACTTAACAACAACAACAACAAATTTACTTGACCAGAAAACTGCTCTTTAACTTTCTAAAAGAGAAATAGCCTTTAGGGCAGGCAATAAACTTTGAGCAATGTTAGAATGAATATACTCGTCTGTCATGAATACTATAATCACTTGTTTAATCCATCTGTTTCTCTGACTAAATTTATGAATATTTAAGGACAGAACATGCATTTTTTTTTTCCTCTTACCATTTTCTAAATAGCAGATAACATGCTAAAAAACTTTACATAGTCTCATTATTTCTCTCAAATTTATATTATCGTAATCTTGTAAGGTGGAGTCCTGGTGTAGTGCGGTAGGATAAGCACTGGACTGCCAACCACATGTCAGTGGTTCAAACTCACCAGCCAATCCTTGGAAACCCTATACAGGGTCGCAGTGAATCCGAACTGATTTGATGGCATTTAACAACCATAACAACAAACTTGAAAGGTAAGTGGACTGTTTTATAGATCGGGCATTTTACGCTGAGAAAGGCAGGACAACTCTCTAAGGCTTCTTAGCCAACATATTGCTGAGCTAGGCAACAAACTCAGGTCATTTAACGTCATCCAATATGCAGCACAGCACCTAGTATATATTAGATACTTGATAGACATTTAACAAATTAATGCTTCTTTTGCCAATAACACTCAAACCCAATAACAGTCATAACCTATATTCAAGTCTTCTCTGAAGAATTTGTTCATCAATGACCAAGGTGACCACTAAAAGAGACAAAGTTAAATCAGAGTAACTACAAGGTTCTGCCTTAAATAAATACTCCATTACCCTTTGACAATATGCTCTTGTGAGCCCCAGAATTATTTAAAACTAATTTTAGAACTGAGTAATGCAGCTGCAGTTATTAAAAGAATAGTTTCAGTTTTTCTAAAACCAAACCAAATTAAGCCATGGACTTCTGTAATATGCAAGTTTCACTTTAATGAGCTAAGGTTTAGATTTAAGTTAGGCTACATGTGAAAATCACCTGTAAGATGGTTCTTTAAATGACTTACAAGCTTAATCAAATTTTTTTTCATGTGTGTTCATTCCAATGCCTCTAAGAACCTGGATAGGTTACTAATAATTAATCTGGGCCAAGTCTTCAGTATGTCATTTTTAGTCAACTTGAAAAGTTTTCATTCAGTTGCATCTAATAAGATGCCCCCAGTCACTCACAAATCATCATTCGTCTCACCAAAATATTTTACCTGAAATTTCTTTGCAAAGTAGTTACAGCAGATGGAAGCTTCTTTATTCTCTTTCTAGTCTGGAAACCCTTCCAATAAGCTTGAATCACACAAGCTGCTTTATGCAGTTTCTGAAATAAAATACCAGTAAGAATTTAGAGACATCCCAAGAAAGCATTAAAAAAAAAATTACCTCTTAAAACATCAGGCCTGCTCAAGTATTAATCTCTACAACTAGCAAGGCAAGCAGGAGCCAACGTTTATTTCATGGTCCCAGGACAGAGAGGGTTATCTAATATTTAAGAATATTAAACCTGATCCACCAAAGGAAATATGCTAGTCTCCAGTTGGCCATATACAAAACATATTCAAAATATAGCCTGGTTAGTTTCAAATTCTACTCAATCTCACTTTCATTCATGTTTCAAAGGTTTTATAGTTCAGTTCTTTTACTGCTTTAACCTCTTTAATTGACTTCTTGTACCTGGTTTCATTGATTCAAGGATTCAAAGGTCCTGGTGAATACCTTGTACATGCCAAAAAAAAAAAAAAAATGTATCTGGCATTGAAAGGTCAATATATAAAAATATACCCTTATTTCTAAAACTAAGGCTTCTCTGGATATTATGGAGCATAAGTAAATGGAAATGAGGGATAAAAGAAAAAATTCACGAGGAAATTACTGTTCTTTTAATACTTTACTAAGGATAAGGACTATCTAATGCAAAAACTGCCAGGCGCGGACCAAACATTTTTTCCCCTACCTCTCTGTAACAGAATCCTGACTTATGGCTATATAAATTCCTGTGTGAAATAAAGTTCACATTTCCCAGCGTCCTTTGTAACTAGTTATAGTCATATTCCTGAGCTGTGGATAATAAAAGGTAAGAAGTGTCAAATTTGAGAGAAGATGCCTTAAGAGGGAAAGTATGTAAGGTCTATCCTTTTGACACCATCCCTGTCCTACATCCTTCTGTTACCAGGCTGGAATGAAAACAGGATAGTTGGCGCTCTAGCAGCCATCTTGGTTAATGAGCTGATTTTGAGGACAGAACCTTCATGTTAGAAGGGCAGAAGAGAAAAACAGAAGTCTGGCTTCTGATGATATGAGAAGGCTTCAAAATGTTGTGGAAAAATGGAATTGAATGATAGTTTAATTCTTCTCTGAACTTTTTAAAGTCCCACTGAATACTGGAGTTTTGTAAAGCCTTAATTTTTTATCTGTTTTTAATTGAAGGGCGAAATTAACTTTTATCTTTTTTCAGCACTTTTTTTGGTATTTTTTATTTGCACCTGAATATAATTCCTAGTTGATATACTCTCCACAAAACTGAGGAGAACGTTACTGTCCTAGCTAAACCATGACTGTTGTTGTTAAGTGCAGTTGAGTTGATTTCGACTCATGATGACATTGTATAGGGTTTCCAAGGAGCAGCTGGTGGGTTTGAAATGCCGACCTTGTACTTTGCAGTCCAGTGATGATCCCACAGCACCATACCAACAGGAGTTCAAAACCATGATTACCAGTAGGAAAAATATCTAGATATATTTCCAAATTCCTAGAGTATCATACTTAACACTCAAGATAGTTATCATTCATCCTTATTGATAAAGTACTAGTTTTAGAAAATATTAGGTGTAGGTTTATTTTATAATATTTTATCACTTAAAATTATCTATTATAACAATATTTATCTTAATTTCCATAAGGAGTACATATCAGATCTCCTCGAAATTTAAAGTGACAGTTTCAACATAAAACTAAATGGCCACCACTCGTCTGTCTGTCATGATGTGGTGGCTTGAGATGCTGTGAGTCTGAGGGCTATGCCACTGGTATTTTAAATAACCAGCAAGGTCACCAATGGTGGACAGGTTTCAGATGAGCTTCCAGACAAAGACAGACTAGGAAGAAAGAGTGACAAATTCTTCCGAATAATTAGTCACTGAAAACCTTATGAATAGCAGAGAAACACTGTCAGATACAATGCCAAAAAAAGAGCCCCTCAGGTTGGAAGGCACTCAAAATGCAACTGGGGAAGAGATGCGTCTGCAAAGTAGAGTTGACCATGATGACTTGAATGCAGTTAAGCTCATTGGAGAAAAGCCCACAGAACCTTCATTTGCTGATGGGGCACAACTCAAAATGAAGAGAAACAGCTGTAAACATCCATTGAAAATTGGAACCTGGAATGTACGAAGTATGAATCTGGGAAAATTAGAAGTTGTCAAAAATGAAATAGAATGCAGAAACATCAATATCTTAGGCATTAGTGAGCTGAAAAGGACTGGTATTGGACATTTTGAATCTCACAACCACATGGTTTACTATGCCGGGAATGACAAATTGAAAAGGAATGGTGTCGCATCCATCGTCAAAAAGAACATATCCACATCAGTCATGAGGTACAATGCTGTATGTGATAGGATAATATCCATGCACCTACAGGGAAGCTCAGTTAATACCACTATTATTCAAATTTATGCACCAAGCACTAAAGACAGTGAGGATGAAACAGAAGAATTCTACCAACTTCTTAAATCTGAAATCGATCAAACATGCAATCAAGATGTATTGCTCATTACTGGTGATTCGAATGTGAAGGTTGGGAGCAAAGAAGAAGGATCAGTAGATGGAAAATATGGCCTTGGTGATAGAAATGATGCTGGAGAACGCATGATAGAATTCTGCAAAACCGATGATTTGTTTATTTCAAATACCTTCTTTAGACAGCATAATAGACGACTATACACATAAACCTCGCCAGATGGAACACAAAGAAATCAAATGGACTACATCTGTGGAAAGAGAAGATGGAAAAAGCTCCATATCATCAGTGAAAACAAGGCCAGGGGCAGACTGTGGAACAGACCATCAATTACTTGTATGCAAATTCAAACTGAAACTGAAGAAAATGAAAACAAGTCCACGAGCACCAAAATATGACCTTGAATTTATCACACCTGAATTTAGAGATCATCTGAAGAACAGATTTGATGAATTAAACACTAAAGACCGAAGACCAGAAGAGTTGTGGGATGACATCAAGAACATCATATGTGAAGAGAGCAAAAAGTCATTAAGAATACATGAAAGAACCTGGAGTGGCTAGAGGAACAGAAGATACTTCTTGAAAGAAAGACATACAGGAAAAATATAAAACAACATAGGCAGACCGACTGTTACTACAACAACAAGCAACATGCTTGCCCAGGAAACATCAAGGCAAGTGGTCGGGTCCCCTCAGTGGAAACCCCCTTCCAAGACTAAGACTCAATGGGAATATATGCTGTGATTGGTGACCACGCTCAACACCGATAAGGGGAAGTGAGGGAAAAACAGCAATGAAGCTGTGAGCTAAACCCTACAACGTTCAATGGACTTCTGTGAACCTGGGTGAAGACCTGGTTGGCCAGCAGTGTGGCAAGACCTGGGGACTCTTGGGCCCAAAGTCAGTGACATAGCCACAGAGGACTAGAGTGGAGAGTGAAGCGTCCAGCTGATAAGAGAGGGCATATGCATAAGAACACCCACACTTGCAGATAATACCCATTTATCCTGGCTTCAGTGACTGCATGATCAGAGCTCAACCTGCGATACGCAGATGATACAACCTTGCTTGCTGAAAGTGAAGAGGACTTAAAACATTTACTGATGAAGATCAAAGAGCACAGCCTTTGGTATGGATTGCATCTTAATGTCAAGAAAACAAAAATCCTCACCACTGGACCAATAAACAACATTCTTATCAATGGAGAAAAGATTGAAGTTGTCAAGGACTTCATTCTTCTTGGATCAACTATCAACACTCATGGAAGCAGCAGTCAAGAGACCAGACAACGTATTGCATTAGGCAAATCTGCTATACAGGAACTTTTTAAAGTGTTGAAGAGCAGAGATGTCAGCTTGAGGACTAAGGTGCGCCTGACCCAAGCCATGGTATTTTCAATAACCTCATATGGATGCGAAGGCTGGACAATGAATAAGGAAGATCATAGAAGAATTGATGCAGGCAGTCTCCATCCAAGTACTAACCAGGCCTGACCCTGATTAGCTTCTGAGATCAGACAACATTGGGGGCATTAATGAATGGGTTCGTATTTATCATGTAAAGAACATTTCATGATCTATCTTGAAGTACTGTGAAGTACATTTGAAGATCTATCTTGAAACGCTGTCTGTGATAGCCTAAAAGGATAACCTTTATTATCACTATTATTCAAATTTATGCATCAAGCAATAAAGCCAATGAAGAAACTGAAGAATTCTACCAACTACTTCAATCTGAAATTGATCAAACATGCAATCAAGATACACTGATAACTGAAATGTCAAAGTAGAAACAAAGAGTATGGCCTTGGTGAAAGAAACAATGCTGGAGACTGCACGATAGACTTTTGCAAAACCAATGACTTCTTCATTGCAAATATGCAACATTTGTTGTTGTTAAGTACCATGGAGTTGGTTCCAACTCATAGTGACCCTGCACAAGGTTTCCGAGGCTATAAATCTTTATGGGAGCGGAAAGCCTCATCTTTCTCCTGTGGAACAGCTGGTAGTTTTGAACTGCCGACCTTAAGGTTAGCAGCCCGACTCGTAACCACTAAGCTACCAGAGCTCTTTAATATGCAACATACATAGTGACTATATGTATTGGTTGGTTGGGTGGTTATGTGTCGTGGAGTCAGTTCTGACTTATACTGACCCTGTACAGGGTTTCTGAGGCAGTAAATCTTTACAGGAGTAGAAAGCCTCATCTTTCTCCCTTGAAAAAGCTGGTAGTTTTGAACTTCTGACCTTGCAGTTCTCGCAGCCTGATTTGTAACTACTACACCACCATATGGAATACACAGATATCTAACTGACTATATCTGTGGGAAGAGATGATGAAGATGGTCAATAACTTCAGTCAGCATAGAGCTGATGCAGAATAGACTGTCAATATGCAAATTCAGGTTGAAGCTGAAAATATTAAAACAAGTCCACAAGAGTTAAAATGTGACCTTGAGTATATCTCATCCAAATTTAGAGAACATCTCATGAACAGATTTGATGCATTACATACTAATGACTGATGACAAGAGGAGAAGTGCAATGACATCAAGAGCATCATATATGAAGAACATAAAAGGTCATTAAAAATACAGGGGAAAAAAAGGACAAGAAAAAAAGAACAGACCAAAATGGATGTCAAAGACTTCATTTTGAATGGATGCATAATCAATGTTCATGGAAGCAGCAATCAAGTAATCAAATGACGTATTGTATTAGGCAAATATGCTGCTAAAGACTTCTTTAAAGGTGTCACTTTGAGAACTAGGGTACATCTCAAGCCATGGTATTTTCAATTGCCTCACATGAATATGAAAATTGGACAATGAATAAGACCATAGAATCATCAATGCAAAAGAATATTGAAAGTATTTTCAATTGCCTCACATGAATATGAAAATTGGACAATGAATAAGACCATAGAATCATCAATGCAAAAGAATATTGAAAGTACCACGTATTGCCAGAAAAACAAAAAAAACTGCATTTGAAGTATGGCCAGAATGCTCCTTAGAAGCCAAGATGGGAAGACTTTGTCTCTCTTACTTTGGTCAATACCATAGGGAGTAGTCCCTGTAAGACTTGATAAAATGAAGGGTCAATGAAAACGAGGAAGACCCCCAACAAGATGGATTAACACAGTGGCAGTAACAATGGGCTGAAACATAACAATTTTGAGGATGCTGCAGGATCAAGAAGTGGTTCATTCTGTTATGCATAGGGTTGCTATGAGTTGGCACTTAAAAAAACAAGTTGGTGGTTTATAGATGGTTTATAATAACATAAAAACTATGATGAATTTTATATTGAAAGTCAATATATGAAGATACCAAGCAAATGAAAAAAATGTATGTATGAAATTCTACTAAAATCATGTCAGGCTAAAATCTTGTCTTCATGCCTTTTGAAGGAAACTGAATTCTTATCTGTATATTTGTGAAGTTTGGTTCAAAGATTTTAGTACTTTAATTTAAATCATGTGGGTAGCACTGAGCTAAACCTGTTAACACAAATCATCTAGATGCTTGTATAATGATTTAGACACTGTCATACTGTAAATAATAAGTGGGCAATATTAACAAAACAAAAGATGGTGGAAAAGAAACCCCAGAAAACATTAAATTTACAGAAGGCTGGTCAGGCAGTCCCAGGATCTTTTAAAAACAGGGCCCACTGTCAATCAAGTATTTAGAAGCCGACTCCAAGGCACATAACAACAACAACATAAATATATGGAGTCGGTTTTGACACATAGCAACTCTGTACAGAGTCCCGAGGCTGTAAATCTTTACGGGAGCAGAAAGCCTCATCTTTCTTCCTTGGAACAGCTGGTAGTTTCGAACTAGCTGACCTTGAGTTTAGCAGCCTGATTCATAACCACTATACTACCAGAGCTCCTGTATAAATATATAAACATTTATTGTTGTTGTTGTTAAGTACCATCGAGTTATTTCCGACCCATAGCGACCCTGTATAGGGTTTCCAAAAAGCAGCTGTATAAATAGCCTGAAATTATGTTTGTGGGCAGGCAGGATGAATGATAGAGAAATTTTAAAGGTATATTAATTTTCAGAGGAAGCATTTTGCTTAAAGCGTTAAGAGAAAGAAAGTGAGGAGCTTTTAAGGAATGTTGTTGTTGTTAAGAGCCATCGAGCTGGTTCCGACCAGTTCAAACTGACTTTGCAGTCTAGCACTTTAACCTGCAGAGCCACACCAGGACTCCACGGAGACTTATTTAGTCAATTAGCAAATATCACACAAATTATTTTTAGAATTTAATACCTGCTCTTCAACCTCCTGATAGGACTTTGGGCTTAAAACGCCAAGAAGCTGTCTGAGTTCATGACTAAATTCTGACCCAATTTCCTGTTTATTTAGTAGACTTCTGAGTCCTGAAATAGAACAACAAGAGAAAATAATTAATAATAAATATATTATTATCTAATCAGTATAATTCAAGGTTAAAAAGTCAGATTTTGAAACAAATTAACATAATAACAAGATTAGTAACATTAGTTTTCTTTTTTCGTTTTTTCTTATATTGTTTTTAAGTCCTTTGAGACATGCTAGTAACCTCTCAGACCTTCCCCATACCTCTCTTCCTTATGGAGCGCCTAACTTGTATCTTTTTGCGATAGTAAATGTGCAGTTCTAATACTTTCTGTAGAGTCCTGGTGTGAATCTATAGGCTAATGCATCAGACTGCAAAGTTGTTTGAACTGCAAGGTCGGTGGTTCAAGCTCACCAGCTGCTCCTTGAAAACCCTATACAGGGTCGCTATGGGTCAGAATTGACTCTACGGCACTTAACAACAACAAGTACTTTCTGTGACTTCTGTGAGTCTTTACAGTAAATAAAGAAAACTAAAAGAGGGTAAAAGGGTGGGAGCTCCTGGGAGGTACCTAAACTTGCAGGTGGTATTCCAAAGGGGCAGTGGAAAAACCTCAAATTTGTGGCCAGTAGGTCAGAAGGTGTTGTATGAATTGTAAAGCATCTGCCTTTTTGGCATTCTGAAGGACAGTGGCAGTAAAGCACCTAGCTCTGGGTGGACAGACATAGACACAGAGTAAAAGAGAGAAGGAAAAAGAATGACAGAGACAGAGAGAGATATACACAGAGAAACAGAAGCAGAAAGAGGCAGGAGAGACAGAGAAAGAGAGATTGTGTGAGCAGCTGGTGTCAAAGATGATTGAGAAGTGAGAAAGTAGGGATTTGATTCATTATTACATTTTGGGGATTGGATTTATGCTGGTTCTTATCCATGAACCCAAGCTCTCAGCAGTGTTAATAATTTTTAAGTATCCTAAAGAACCAGTGTAAGTTCTGCTACTGATTTATAAGTCAAAGTTAGCACAGAATTTTGTTTGGCAAATGAAAAAAAAAAAAAAAGGAAAAACATTATCTGTGTGATATGGATTAATTCATTTAAATTTTTCCATGTCTTATTTCAACACCTATAAAATAAGGTTAGAAGTGCTGATCTCACAAGTTTGTTATGAAGATAAAATATTTAAGTGCATGTGAAGTATGTAGCGCAGTTCCTGACACTTAGTAAGGGCTCAGTTCGATGGAAGCTATTACATGAGTATTTCACTGAACACTTTATTCCGTCAAATTTCTGACGTTTTACTCACGTGTGTTTATTTTAGAGGTGACCAAGATTGTATGTTTATATTTTGAAGGAGGCAGTGAAGACACTGAAGAGTAACTGATATTAGATCAAAAGGGCTATCAACTTCCTAACACAAGCCTATTTTCTTCACTAGTTAGTCCTGACAAGGTCACAGACCATTTGGTCATTATTCTACATCACGTATGATCACAATGAGTCAGAACTGACTCGAAGGCAATTAGCAACAGCAACAACATGGTAGATTCAACACACAATCATTTTGTCAGAGAAGGAATAATTAATCCTTATAACCTCATCCATAAAATAATATATGCCATCTGCTGAAACAGAAAGATAGCTTGATTACATAAATTCTTTTTCCTGAGCTGGTATCTGTTGTTAGAGGGTTTTAGCTGCACACTTCAATTATTTACTTTTTTCAAAACAAAGGATTTTTGGTTTTCATAAGCCATCCCAAAACACTTTGTTTTAGAGAATCTTAAGAAAAGAAAGAATATACATACTACCTCTGTAGCAGGAACTTCGTCTCAATAAAATCAAAATTTCATGATGTGATTCAGCCATCAACAACAGAAGTTTTATAGCAGTATTTCTTAGGACTGGACTGGGAGTTGACAAAAGCTTGAAAACAACTTCATCTAAAATTGAATGCAGTTTTTTTGCTTCTATTCTGAGTAAATGACCACTAGTAGGATAAATTAAAAATAAAGAAGATACCATTACTCACTGATGCATAGATATCACAACAAATTAAACAGTAAAGATTCAGCAGCTTGATGCCTTACTGTAGCCTCATTCATAAAGATAACAAATTCTTTAAACATACAGCTTGGTTCCAAGAATATATAAAATTAAATCCGTATTTATTGAATCTCTACTATGAGTAAAGCACTACGCCACATACAATAGGGGATCTAAGTAATCAAAGGTTCTTTGCTCAGAGAAACCTACAATCTTGCTGGAAAGGTAAATGTGCAAAAAATTAAGTAACAGGTGGATAAAATACTTAACAGCAGCAATAAGAGAAAAATCACAAGACAATATGATTAAATTACTTATTGATGTATGAAGACAAAAATGCTATAAAAATTCAATTACTATGTACTTAATATAGAAAGAACATTTTTCCTTTTGTATTTCCTTCATTACATTAACAACCTCAGTTTACATTATTAATGCCATGAAACTTATCCAAAACTTAGAAATAGTCAAAAGAAATGCTGGTGTCCTTTTACTCACTTCCATGAGGAACATCTGAATTTCTAGGGGTGTATCTTTGGTGGCACTTTTAGATAGGCGTAGGGCTGCTAGCCACAAGGTTGGTGGTTTAAAACCATCATAGGAGAAACATGAGGTGATCTATTCCCATAAAGATTTATAGTCTCAGAAACCCTTTATAAGGTCGCTATGAGTTGACAGCAGTGGGTTTGATTTGGTGTCTTCAGTTATACCTTTGTTTAAGGCACCCAGGTGATGAAATAGTTAAATGCTTGGCTGCTGACCAAAGGCTGGTGGTTCAAACCCATCAGCAGTACCACAGGAGAAAAGACCTGTCCATCTGTTCTTTTAAAGATTACAGCCTAGGAAACTTCAGGGGGCAGTTTTACATTGTCCTATAATGTTACTATGAGTCACAAAAACAACTATTCACTACTGATTAAAAGATTTTACAATTCTGTAAAAGTAGAGGTTAGCTTATAGAATAGTGATAATGCTATAATTCTTACCTGAGAGCAATATAAACTATTTCTGTTCTGTAGAAAAGGTAATTTCAAAGGTTATCATGTATTGCTTTGAAGACATTAATTATTTTGTGTTCATAGCAAAGTCAATTTGTATTCTTTTGACAGACCAACTCTATAAATTCATCTCCTTGAATTCTCTTTTAAACCTGCATTAACATCTTACAGGTTACTTCAGTTAATGAGTTTAATAAAAAAAAATTTTATATGAATTAGTGGTATACTTGCATAGGAGTCATATTTTTGACTTTATATTCTAGCAGTGGCTAAAATTACTTCATTAAGAGAAAATGTCTGTCTACTTAGTTTATTATACTAAGTAAGAAAACTTCAGACTTGAAAGAAACTTTAAAGGTAATCTAAAGCACGAGTATGCGGGAACCTTTGTGATACCCATTTCTGTACTACTTTAGCTCTTATAGTATTCCTTCTTGCTAGGATTAGGATGCTGACCCCTTTGCCTTGTACCATTCAATGCCATCACACATTCAAATCTCAGGTCAAATAACATGCATATTTCATAGTCTTCCATAGATATTCCTATCCCAATCTGATCACGTCTTATTCCATATTTTACAAAGAATTTATATGCTAAATTGTAATACACTAAATCAAATAATTTTAAATGCTCTATAATTTCCTAATCTTAAAACATCCTCTCTTGAATCAGTTCCAACCCACAACTCTGTATAGGGTTTCTGGGGAGCAGCTGGTGAGTTTGAACTGCCAACCTTGTGGTTCAAATCAACATTGCAGTCCAGCACATTAACCCACAGTGCCACACCAGGACTTATCCACTTCCCTATCTCACATTAATTTCCCAAACCATTGTATCTAGCTTTTTCCCTCACTACTCCACTAAAATTGCCCTAGCAATTGCACTAGCCTCCAAAATGTTAAATCATATGTACATCACTAATTTTCTTTGACCTCTCAGTTTATACCTGATACTCTACAAATTTAGTTTTTGAAAAATAAGACAACTGGTCCTCCTCTCCACATCCTGTCCACAGATCTCTGAACAGTCTTTGTGTCTCCTTCAGTGGTTCTCCATCCTATCTATGTCCTTTAAAGGTTGTTCCCTGTACTTTTACTTTCTACTTCCTTTCTCATTCTGCACACATTTTTCATTGAATTCATTCATTGTCTTTTTAACTACCATACATAGACTCATAATTCATAATCTGTAACTCTCATCCAAACCTCTACCAGACATTTCCAAGTCATATTGCATTTTCTGTGGGACATATTTATCTGGCCAACATTGAATTCATCATGTCTCACAAAACTAACTCCTTATATATCCTTTGTTTTGGTTATACCAGTCCATATAATCATCCAGATTTAGAAAAGTTAGGCATCATACCTGATTGCCAGTTTTATCTTATCCCATTACCAAAGCATCTAACAAGTTTTGGTTATTTTTTACTTTGAAGTTTTTTATACTTGATATATAGTAAATTGCACATATTTTAAAGTATATAATTTGGTAAGTTTTTATCTGTTTTACTGCCACTATCAAGTAATGGATATATCCATCACCTCTCCAAATTTCCTTGTCTCTTTGTAGTCTTTCCCTCCCAGCCTGATATGCTACACCTCCAGGCAGCCATTGATCTGCCTTTATTTAAAAAATAGTAATTTTTTATTGTGAGTTGAGTCAAGAGTTACAGAGAAGATCATCAGTTTTACAATCGATAAATCATACACTTTGTTTCATCTCAATGACTGCAATCCCATCCACGTAACAAAATATTTTCCACTCTTTCCTTGTGTCTTCCTAGTGTGGTGCTGTATGGAAGCAATGGACAGCTAAATGCAAAGCCAGTCATTCAAACCTACAAGCTTCTACTTGGAAACCATATATATAGTGTTACATGAGTTGGAACCAACTTGATGGCACTGAACAACAACCACCTTTTAACCGTAAATTACTCTCCCTTCCCTCCTACCCTTGATAACCATCATAGAATGTTTCTTTTCTTGAGTTTTTCACAATAGTGGTCCTATACAATATTTGTCCTTTAGTGATTAATCACACTTAGCATAATGTCCTCCGGGTTCATGCATGTTATGAGGTGTTTCATAGACTCATCGTTATTCTTCAACATTGTGTAGTATTCCATGTGTGTACCAAAGTTTATTCATTTTTCCATTGGTGGGCATTTCAGTTATCTCCATCATTATTCTATTGTGAATAGTGGTGACATAAACATGCATCTGCATATATCTACTCGTGTCATGGCTCTTACTTCTTACAGATATATAACAGATAGAGGGATTGCTGGGACAAACGGTATTTCTATTTCAACTTTTTGAGGAAGCACCATTCTGTGTTTTACAGTGGTTGTATCATTTTACAGTCCCACCAGCAATTTAGGAGGGTCCCAGGCTCTTCACACCCTTGTCAGCATTTGTTGCTTTTGGTTTTTTGAACGTTGCTACTAATGCTAGTGTTAGATGGTATCTCAATTGTGTTTTGATTTAAATCTAATAGCTAATGATTGCAAATATAACTTTGTATGTTTCTTGGTCACCTGAATGTCTTCTTGGTGAAGTGTCTGTTCATGACTGCTTTCATTTTTTAATTTGGTAGTCTTTTTCTTTGTAGAGGCATTGTGGTTTTCTATAAATTTTAGATTAGTCCCTTGTCATTGCAAAAAATGTCTCCTATTTTGTGTGCTTTCTTTTTACTCTTTTGTCGAAATCTTTTGATGCACATAAGTGTCTAATTTTAGGGAAGTCCCAGCCATCTATTTTTCTTTCAACTCTTAAAGTGTAGTTTTAGTTATGTTTAACAGTGTTTTTATGCCATGTATTTATTTGTTTTGTCACTACAAATCAGTTTGCATTTTCTAGAATTTTATATAAATGGAATTATACAGTATGTACTCTTTTTTATCTTTTGTTCACTCAATACACTTTTTTGACATTCATCTTTCTTGTCCTGTGTATGAATAGTTCATGCCTCTTTATTGCTGAGTAGTATTCTATTGTATCGATATACCACAGCCTGCTTATCTAGTCACCTGTCAGTGGGCATATGAGTTGTTTCCAGTCTTTGGCTATTACAAGTAAAGCTATGAACATTTGTGTACAAGTCTTTGTATAGACATATGCCTTCATTTCTCTTGGGAAAAATATAGCAGTGGAATGGATGGAAAATATGGTAGCTGTATGTTTAGCTTTTTAAAACACTGCCACATTGTTTTCCATTGTAATTGTATAATTTTTTTTTTTCAACTTGCAGAATATATCTAGTGCTTCTACATCCTCTTCAATACTTGGGCCAGTTTAACAGGTTTGTAATGGCATCACTCTACTGTTGTTGACTATCTCTTCATGTATTATTTGCCATCCATATACTACCAGCTGTTCCGTGGGAGAAAGATGAGGCATTCTGCTCCAGTAAAGATTTACAACCTCAGAAACCCTGTACAGGGTTGCTATGAGTTGGAACCGACTCCATGGCACATAACAACAACAACATATATCTTTTATCATGAAGTCTGTTTAACTCTTTTGCCCATTTTTCAAATTAGGCTGTTTCTCTCTTTACTGAATTTTAACAGTTCTTTATATATTTTAGATGTTGTTGCTGTGGTTAAGTGTTGTCAAGTTGGTTCTGATTCATACAAACCTGTAGAGAGTTTTCTGAGGAGCAGCTGGTGGGTTTGAACTGCTGACCCTATGGTTAGCAGTCCAGTGCTTATCCTATAGCATCACTCCAAGAGTCCAAGTACTTAATAAGATATATGCTTTGCAAATACTTTGTTTTTCCTATTCTGTGGTTTTGATTTCATTTTTTAACAGTGTTTTGGAAAGACAGAAGTTTTTAATTTTGATGCAGTCCAAATTAATCAGTTTTTTTCTTATACAGATCATACTTTATGTTGTAAAGAGCTCTGGTAGTATAATAGTTATGAGTTGGGCTGCTAACTTC